GTTCTGTGCTGTTTTTTGTTTTTTTTTTTTTTTTAGTTTTTGCTATAGGGTGTGTATGCTCCCTATACAGAGACACAGAGAGAGAAAAAGTGAGAAATCACCCCCTGGGGGGAATGGTCGTACCACAACCCTCCTCCCCTATTTTCCTCTTGGGATTTTGAGCATGCATGCTCATGCACTTGGCATGATTTTCAAGCCACATGATCCAGTGTGGGAAGCTGCGCACCAGCCGATTCCCCCAGGTTTCTCAGAGAGCAAACAATTACCATGATTGGTTCCCTTCCAAAAACCTGACCTTCGAAACCTTGCTCTGATTGGCCACTAGAATCCCTCAAATTTGCATATCCAGCACCTCATGATTGGTCCAAAAGCAACCAATCATAACCCACCGTTAACAACCAATCAGGGCCCACCGTTAACAACCAATCAGGGTAATTGTTTGCTCTCTGAGAAACCTCGGCAGACTCGCTGGTGCGCAGCTTCCCACACTTCCTTTAAATATTTAATTCTGTTTTTTGTTTTGTTTTGTTTTTTAAGTTTGTTTCTTCTGAGAGAAAGTGAGCACACACCCCAACAGAGCCCTGACACTGCAGTCCACCTCCAGCCTCAGCTAACCCCAGATCATGGACATAATGTACGAAGATCTCTGTATTTGAATCTGGAACCTCTCCATGTGGGTCAGCCTTTCAGAGCACTGCATTGTACCATGGCACCCCCATCTAGACCCCTTTTTTCAATTCTTGATAAGCAATTCTGTACTGTGAAAGTTTCATCACAGACCAAGAGTGACTACTTTAGTAATCCTTAAATTTCAGAATTATTTCCTGAACCTCTTCTGGGTGTAGAGCCAAAAATAGAAAGCAGATTTGTATCTCACAGTATTCAAATTCAATTTTTTTTTATTAAGCCTTGACTACATCAGAACATTTGTAAGATTCTTCCATTTTCTTACAGAGATACTCGGATGCCTGAATAGCAGATGGAAACTATTAAAATAGCTGATTAGAAAACTAGTGTCATTTTAAATTTTGTTTATTTTTTAAGACAGGGCCTCACCATGTCGCAATCCTCCTGCCTCAGCCTCCCAGTTGGGACTACGGATGTACCACCACACCTGGCTCTTTTCCCCATAGGGTCTCACTATATTGCCCAGGCTAGCCTTGAGCTCAGTGATCTTCTTGCTTCAGCCTCCCTGGCTGCTCAGCTTACAGTTGCCTGCCACCTTGCCCAGCCTTGGGCTGGACCAGAAATCAAACCTGGCTTCCCATGTGGCCCCAGCCTAGGAAGCACAGCATCTGAGCAGAGCACACCACTGCTGCTGATATGCTTGAGAGAACAAATTCTTCTCTTGGTGTGTATTCAATAGCAGTTTCAAAAAATACGGAAAAGATGCCTTCCTTCCTTATTAGCTGGCTGTAAACCCTCACTGCATATAGGATTTCTGATCTACTTCCAGTTTAAGCTGGGAATTTCACTCTTGGCTCCCAAAGGCCATGCTGCTAAGCCGAACCGCTAGGGTAACAGTGCTAGTACATTTGGCCACCTGGGAACAGGCAACCCTTTAAGTACCAAAAAGCAAAAAAGGAACTGCAGATTAGCCTGTTTCATTTCACCCAACATGAGTCTCTCTAGTGAATGTCTGGAGAGTATAAACAGACAGTACGGGTATGCTCATGGTCCTTTATACAAAACCACTGATGAAAAAAACTACTGACTGTTTCGATCACAGTATGTTAAAAAATGTTCAAAAACATTTTGTGTTTAAAATCTGAGCAAAATTTGAAAAGTAAAAAATCCTACTCAATAGAAGTTATTGAAGGCTAATGAGATATTTGAAAGGGGAGAGGAGAATTCTCTAGGATTAAGAGAAAATGTAAATATCTAATGTTAAAGACTTGATTTTTCCTGGGAATTATATCCTAATTATAAACTGAGTTAGGAGAGATACTAGGTGTCATCGTCTAGTACAGCCTTTTTTTTTAAATTGTGAACACAAACAGATGCAGACTTATTAGGAGGAGGCAATTAACTTGATTCTCCTTAAAATAATTATCATAGAACTGAAGACTATTGAAAGTTACTTTTAATAGAGGAAAATGACCAGGAAAGGTTCCCTTAGGAAGATGGAGCAGGCAAGGGGACATTTCAAAGTCTGGAATATTTTTTGGGGGACCAGCCAGATCCCATTAACAGGATGAACTAAACAATGTGTTAGATCAATTTTGATTAGCTGTCATGTTACCTACATGGGATTATAGTAGGTACAATGATAATTTTCTCTTCTCTATCTTTTTAAAGGCAGTCTCACTATGTTACGGCCTCAGCCTCCAGAGTACAGGCCCATGCGCACCACACCTACCTTTTAAAGCGGGTTTGGCACTGAACTTGGATCTCTTATGTGGCCTCAGCCTGCCAAGTAGCAGCGACAACAAGAGTGCTACTGTGGGTAGGCTTCAGTATGTTCTCTTAATGCTAGCACATAAGTACAAGAGGCGTTTGTACGATATTTATAAAGTTATAGCAAAATAAATTCTTTTTCTTACAGAAAGCATATTCAGCCTAGAAGGGAACACATATTCTGAATCTTGGCTAGTCCATTCTTATTTAAGGTATTAACTTCCACCTAGTGGTCAGTTCTTGAATTGAAGGCATGAAATTCTAAGAGGAAATTTATAAATGTGCTTTGAAAGACATCCATTTCAGTAATACCAATTAAAAAGCATGCACACACTTACCTCCATTTTCTGATTTTTCTGAAATACCAGGCAATTTCCAAAGGGCTTTCATTTGTTCTGCATTCCTGTAAAAAGAACAAATATTTTCAGATAAAGTGTCTAGTCTAGCACTTTAAACACAGACTGGCACTCTGTGCATTTTATATATTTTCCCT